AATAGGAGAAGCAGGAGGGAGGCTTCTAGGGCCCGGGACCCCTCACTGGGAACACACGTCTCTAACCCTTCCAGCTCACCTCTGCTGCCACCTTGGGAAACTGAGGTCCTCAGAACCAACCAGTCCCTCACCCTGTCTGAGCTTGGAGGAAGCATGTCCTGAGCATCACAGCGATCATTAGGACGAGATTTCCAGAAAAAAAAATTTTTTTTTTCTAGAAGGTTCCAAAACTTTTTTTTTTCTTCCTCCAAAACCAGGAATATAGTTCTTACATCCACTCCTTTTTCTACGTCAAGGCTCCTGGATATCAGCCTTGAGCTAAGGGACTTGGACTTCTGTGAAGTGGGCCTCCTGGGGATGGGGTAGGGGCAGAGCAGCTGATACTCATTCTAGAGCTGAAGGGGGTGAGGCCTGCCTGGTGGGGCTTCAGTGTTGCCTTAATAAATTTTACCTGCAGCTAAGTCCAGGTTTGTGTGTGTGTGTGTGTGTGTGTGTGTGTGTGTGTTTATTTTTCAGCAGCTAAACAACTCTGGAGTCTCTGTGTGACCTTCTCAGCCCCTTCTCTGCTTTGCTCCCAAGGGCGTGAACGGGACAGGGCCGGACCTGAAGGTCTGTACCCAGTGCCTCGGACAAGGCCTGTCTGGGTTGTCAGAGATGCACTCACCACGCTTCCTCGGCTTGGAGAGAACCAGGTTGTGGGGGTCTTTCACCTCCCCCCGCCCACGTGCCAGAGTTTTACCCCCGTGTCGTGTTCTGTTCAGCCAGCAGAAGCGAGAAGCCTGCTGCTTTTCCTGTCCTGGGCCTCCCCGGCCATGTTGGGGAACCGTGTGGCAGGCCGACCCCCAAAGATGTCCACAACCTGATCCCTGGGCCCTGTGACTACATTCCCTCACGTGGCAAAGGAGATTTTGCAGATGGGCTTCAGTTAAGGATCTGGAGACAGGGAGATGGTCCTGGATTATCCAGGTGGACCCTAAACATCATCACAAGGGTCCTTTTAAGAGGGAGGCTGGGGGACTTCCCGGGCGGTCCAGTGGTTAAGATGCCGTGCTGGCAATGCAGGGGGCGCAAGTTCGATCCCTGGTCGGGAACTAAGATCCCACATGCAAACCGCAACTAAGAGTTCGCATGCCACAACTAAGAAGTCCGCGTGCTGTGACTAATACCTGGTGCAGCCAAAAATAAATACGTAATAAATTAATTTTTTAGAAAAAGATGAACGAGTCTGGGGTTATAAAGTACAGCTTGGTGACTGCAGTTAACAGTCTTGCATTGTGTATTTGCTAATTTTTTTTAAAAAAATAAATTATTTATTTTTGGCCATGTTGGGTCTTTGTTGATGAGCGTGGGCTTTCTCTAGTTGCGGCGAACGGGGGCTACTCTTCCTTGCGGTGCTCGGGCTTCTCATTGCGGAGCATGGGGCTCTAGGCATGCAGGCTTCAGTAGTCACGGCAGGCGGGCTCGGTAGTTGTGGCTCATGGGCTCTAGAGCTCAGGCTCAGTAGTTGTGGTGCACGGGCTTAGTTGCTCTGTGGCATGTGGGATCTTCCCGGACCAGGGCTCGAACCCGTGTCCCTTGCATTGGCAGGCAGATTCTTAACCACTGCGCCACCAGGGAAATCCATGCATTGTGTATTTGAAAGTTGCTAAGAGGGTAGGTCTTAAAAGTTCTCATTTCAAGAAAAGAAATATTTGTAACTATGTGAGGTGATGGATGTTAACTAGACTTATTGTGGTCATTTCACAGTGTATATTGAATACATATATCAAATCATTATGTTGTACACCTAAGACTAATGCTATGTTGTATGTCAATTACATCTCAAAAAAAACAAACAAAAGGTTAAACATTTGGGGGAAATTGTATGAAAAAGCACATGCAATAACAAATTCAAAATTAGGTGCCACAGAAAACCTGCCTGTCGACACTTAGTGATAGATACTTGCTGTATGTCAGGCACTGTGGTAAAATGATCTAGACTAAAAGTCTGCAAACTATAGCCTGAGGGCCAAAAGTACCCAAAGAGTTTTTTGTTTGTTGGCATGGCTAACAAGCTAAGAGGGTTTTAATGCAAAGGTACGCAACAGAGACCTCCTGTATCCCGCAAAGCTGAAAATATTTACTATCTAACCCTTTATAGGAATAGCTTGCCTACCTGTTTTGAGACCACTGTACAGGACTTCTTCCTGTTACATCTTACTGCTTAGACTTAAATATTTCTCCCAGTCCATAGAAGATGTGAACAAGGGTGAATTACTGATATTCACAACAATGTGGCTGAAACTCACAAGCATGATGCTGAGTGAGAGGAGGCAGACACAAACGCATCCGCTCGCTGATTCTCCTTTGATGAACAAAACTAAACTATGGGACTTTCCTGGTGGTGCAGTAGTTAAGAATCTGCCTGCCAATGTGGCAGGGGACATGGGTTCAAGCCCTGGTCCGGGAAGATCCCCCATGCCGCGGAGCAACTAAGCCCATGCGCCACAACTACTGAAGCCCCCTGGCCTAGAGCCCGTGCTCCGCAACAAGAGAAGCCACCACAACGAGAACCGCTTGCACTGCGACGCAACAGAGAGTAGCCCCTGCTCGCCACAACTAGAGAAAGCCTGCGCACAGCAACGAAGACCCAACGCAGCAAAAATAAATAAATAATTCAATTAATAAAAAAAATAAAAACCTAAACGATGAGAGACCAGAAGGGTGGTTTCCCAGTGGGTAGGGATGGAGAAGGGGCCCTTGGGGAATTCTAGGGGATGGAAATGACCTCTATATCTCAATCAGGGAGTTGGCTACAGGGAGTGTGTACATACCCAAAAAAAACCACTGAGCTATCTGTCCCTTTAAGCTTTATAGACTTTGGTGCCTATGAATTATATGTCAACACAAATTAAGACAGAGAAAGTAGCATGAGGTGGCGGTGGGGGAAATGAGCCTTTTTGTTCGCTTCCGGGGGGAGTGCAAACAGGTACACTGTTCTGGACAAAATCGGGCAGTGTTTAGTAAGAGTGAGAATGTACTCCACGTCTGAAAAGTCCTAGAAGTTCCCTTTCTCTTCAGCCACCCTAGAGAAACCCTGTCAACGGAGTCACATAATCCTTTTTTTTTTTTGGCCCCAAGGCATGCAGGATCTTAGTTCCCAGACTAGGCATGGGACCCGTGCCCCCTGCAGTGGAAGCACAGAGTCTTAACCACTGCACCACCAGGGAAGTCCCATCACCTAGTCCTTTCTATCAGCTCCAATAGGCGGGTGCTGTAATGATCGCTGTGTTACAAGAGTGAAACTGAGGCAGGGTTCAGCCGGCCCCCCTGTGGCCCCACCTCACGGCAAGTGTCAGAATAAGGATTTGAACCCAGCACTCAGACTACCCTCCCCCTCACGCCATCCCTGCACTGTTCATAACCACCAACTTATAAGGTGTTAATGCCTGCCTGGGGGGAAGAGTGGCAGGAACCAGCATGTCCAACGACAGGGGACTCAACAAACCGTGATATGGCAATGCTTAGTGAGACCATAATACACTTAAAAAGAACAACGTTGGGGGACTTCCCTGGAGGTCCAGTGGTTAGGACTCCATGCTTCCAATGCAGGGGGCACGGGTTCGATCCCCAGTCAGGGAACTAGGATCCCTCAAGCCGCGTGGCACAGCCAAAAAAAGAAAAAAAAGAGCAAGGTCGGGCTACATATATTGGCTTAGAAAAATGTTGGAGACATCTTCAACAGAACAAAGCTAAGTATTGATAACATCTATATCCAGGGTCTGCACACCAGCAAACCACGGCCACTGTCTGGCCTGCGGCGTTGGGTCTTTGTTGCTGTGCGCCAACTTTCTCTAGAGCAGGGGCTACTCTTCGTTGTGGTGTGCAGGCTTCTCATTGCAGTGGCATCTCTTGTTTCGGAGCACGGGCTCTAGGCGCACGGGTTTCAGTAGTTGTGTGTGGCGCACCAGCGTAGTTGTTTCACAGCATGTGGGATCCCTAGGGATCAAACCTGCATTGGCGGGTGGATTCTTAACCACTGCGCTAAGAGGGAAGTCCCTGCCACCTGGTTTTGTAAATAAAGTTTTATTGACACACAGCTGACACCCATTTACTGAGGTCTCACCTGTGACTGCTTTGGGGCTACAGCGGCAGCATAGGTAGTTGTAATAAAGACACTATGGTGCCTAAGACCGACAATATTTTATATATTTATACATAGTAGTGTGTATCTGTTAATCCCAGACTCCTCATTTATCCCTCCCCCCACCCCCTTCCCCTTTGGTAACCAGAAGTTTGTTTTCTATAGCAAACGGTATTTTGACAAGAGGTTCCGGGTGACAAAGGGGCCCAATCAAAGGTATATTATTTATGGCTTTTGCGGGCCTCTTCCTCCACTAAAAAAAAAAATTAAATTACATTTTACAACTGTGTTGGTATAAAGACACATATAATTCAGGCTGGATTATATTCATTTTCTTTTTTTTTTTTTTTTTTCTTTCTGATTTTAAGAGAAATGAAAACATTTTCGTCGGTCCCAGAAGTATGACGGGCTCTGAGCACCGTGATTTAACTATGCCCAATAGATATGTAAGCCCTGGGTTCAGGACCCCTGTGAATTTTATTTTATATATATATTTATTTTTTAGTTACAGGCTTTAGTTAGTTCTGCTCCCTATGAATTTTAAAACGTCATGTTTGCAGCTTCAAGATATGCCATCTTGGGAATTCCCTCGCGGTCCAGTGGTTAGGACTCTGCGCTTTCATTGCGGAGTGCCCAGGTTCAATCCCTGGTGGGGGAACTGAGATCCCCCAAGCTGCACTGCGCGGCCAAAAAGGTATGCCATCTTGCTGTCCCTTTTCCAACCACATGGGCGTCCCCAAATCCCTCCAGGGTGGCCATGATTCCCACCCCCGTCCCCCCCAATTATCCCATCCCCTCTATTCGGTGTCCTGGAAAACATTAATTACTAATTGAGATGAACTAATTTAAACGCTGTGGTTCTTTCTCACTAGACGGTGGGCTTCCGAGGGCTGTCGTCACCCTTGACCCCTGTTGTGGTCCCCAGCGCCCGGGCACCCCGGAGGTGCCCAAACGTCCCCTAAGGGGCAGCCGGCGGAGGGACAGAGGGCGTCGCTCGGGGCGTCTCAGGGACTTTCCCGGTCCCGCTGGGAAAGCGTGATCTCATCCCCTTCCTCCCTCCCCTCCGGACGCGGAAGGGGCGGTCGGAGGCCGTGCGCCTGGAGGCACCAGCGTGCCTTCCGCGCTCTGCCATCCGCTGGCACCGCCGCCAGGCCGTCCGGCCGCCAGCCCCAGCCCCGAGGACACGAGCGGCGCAGCCAGCCGCCCCCGCGATCCCTGGTAGGTGAGGAAGGGGCGAGGGCCGGCTGGGGAGGGGCAGGGGACCCCCGCAGGCCTGCAGGGGGCCCGGCTGCCCACGCCCCTCGCCAGGGTTCGAAGCCAGCTGCCCCGCACTGGGAGCTTTGGACGTCCTTGCGCCGCGTGTTCAGTGCCCCTCGCCCCCCAATGCTCCAACACCCCTTCCTGGCCCAAGTCCTCCCCACCCCCCCAACTCTTCCCCAACACCCCGAATCCTCCCCAACATGACGTACTACTTTCCAATACTGCTTTCCTCCTCCGCGTTTCTGATTTCTTCCCCAAACTGGGCACTCTCTCTGCCCCAGCCCCGGTTCTTCCCGCCCGGTGATCGCCACCCCCCACTGCCGCTCCCCCAGCTCCTCCAGGGCCCCGAATCCCCACTTTATCCAGGGGCTTCCGTGACCCCCCTCCCACTGGGGGAGTGCACTTCCCTCAGCGGGTCCCATCCATCAGCTGAGATGGGTCTCGGGGAATCTTCAACCCCCTGTTCCCCACCCCTTCCCGTGGGGAACGGGGTTGGTTGGTACCTGCCCAGGAGTCGATCCAAGTCTGCCCAGGCCGCTGGTACCACTCGGCTGGGCCCAGGACTTCTTCAGGGTACCTGTGTTCCTTTCCGCTCCTTGCGGCTGAGGCAGGGGTTTGGGGGAGGGGACACCACAGTGTGACCCCGGCAGGCTGAGGTCTGGGTTCCAGAGTTTGGGGGAGGGTTGCCCCAGGCTGCAGAACCTGCCTGGGCCTCTGTGTCCTCCTCCGAATAAGGGCCATTCATTCATTCCTCAGCAAACATTTATGGAGCACCTGCTGCGTGCCAGGAGACACTGTTCAGTACACTGGGCACACAGTAGGGGCCAAATAGTGTCCTCATGGAGCCACAGGGAGCAAAAGTGCGACCTGTCACAGTAATGTGTGCCAAATGCAGAGGGCAGCTATCCGGTACCTTGGCCAGGCTTGAGGATTCCTCAGATCCAGGCATGGGAGGGGTACTGCACATAGTAGGTGCTCAGTGAATAAAGGCAGGGGCCCTGCAGCCACGCTGCCTGGTTTAAATTACTGCCCCTTTACTTTCTACCTGTGTGATCCCGGGCAAGTCACTCTACCTTTCTGTGCCTCCCTTTTCTACTGGTAAACAGGCAGTCAAAATAGTCTTAATTCGCAGCGTTGTCCTTTGCTTTGCACAGTGCCCGGCACATAGTAGGTGCTCAGTAAACACTTATTTTTTAAAAAAATATTTATTTGGGTGCCCCGAGTCTTAGCTGCAGCACATGGAATCTTCATTGCGGCGTGCGGGATCTTTAGTTGTGGCATGAGAACTGTTAGTTGTGGCATGCATGTGGGATCTAGTTCCCTGACCAGGGATAGAATCTGGGCCCCCTGCGTTGGGAGCATGGAGTCTTAGCCACTGGACCACCAGGGAAGTCCCCTGGAACATTTCTTAATTAGCCAAAAGGAGTGAAGTGCCCCTACTATGTGCCAGTCCTGGTAGGAGCCGATTAGGCTGTCTTCTTGGGGAGGAAGGATTCAAGCAGAAAACATTTATTGGGTGCCTACTGTGTGCCAGGCACTGCTCTGTTCACTCACTGATTTATTCAGCCAATAAGTATTTATTTATAAGGTATACTTATTTATTTATGTAAGTATACTGTGTGCTGGTCTCCAGAGATCCTTCCTGGAGATCACCACCTGGTCTGGATCCCATCACTGCTTGCTTGAGCCAGTGGTCACCTCCACCCATGTCCCCTCCCCACCCTCTCTCCTGCCCTCACCACCCCACCCCCGAATCTGTCCTCGCTGAAGTAGCCAGAGGGCACCTGTGAGCACCTGAATTAGGTCCCCTCCCAGCTCTGCATGCAGCTCCCCAGGGCTCCCTCCTCCGTCTCACAAGGCCCTGCCTGACCTGCCCCATCCCCCCCGCCCCGCCCTCCCCTCCTCCCTCTCTCCCGTCGCTCACTCTGCTCCAGACACGTGGGCCTCCTCGTTGTTCCTCCAACACATCAGGTCCAGTCCCACCCCAGGACCTTTGCACATGCTGTCCTCACTTTGCACATGCTGTCCTCACTTTCCCCAGATATGCACCTGAGTTGCTCCCCCACCTCCTTCAGGTCTCAACTCCCGTATGTCACTTCCTCCCAGAGGTCTCCCTTGATCTCCAGTTCTCGGCAGCGTTTCCCCCAGTCCTTGCCTTTCTCCCCCACCCTGGCTCATTTTCTTGATGGCTCTATCCGTTCTCTGCAATGAACTACTTTCTCATTCATCCCGGGTCTCCCCCAACTAGACTGTGAGCTCCAAGAGGGCCGGGGGTCTGCAACAGCACCTACAATAGCTCTTGGCACACAGTAGGTGCTCAATTAATATTCCCTCTGTGTGTGAAGAGATTGCCCAAGAGTGTAGACAGGAGAGGAGGGGGTAGGCAGATTCCAGATTTGGTGAACAAATATAAAAGAAGAGAAAAAAGAAATTCTGCCAGTATTTATTTCTGATTTGTACGGTTTCTTATATTGTTATTCTGAACTCGCGCTCAGGACGAGGGCCACTCTCCTGCTGGTTTTACACACGAGGAAACTGAGGCTGAGAAAACAGGCTCCACCAGCTGGCAGGTGGCAGAGCCGGGTCCCTCACCCCAGTGGGTGCTTCCCCACCCCCACCCCGCTGTTCCCGGCACCCACTGTCAGGTGCAGAGTGGACTTTGCCCTGGAGGCTGTGGAAGGTGGGCAGAATGAAAGCCAGGTTTCCAGAAGGTTGGGGTGGTTGCTGGGCAGGGCAGATGGAGTGGACGGGGGACATGCCAGGGCACAGTGTCTGGGGAGGGGGCGCTGCATCGGGGCTCAGGCTGGCCGGCGGGGAGATGGAGGAGAAACACGGTGTGACTTTAGGCAGTTTGCCAGGAGTGCAGGCGTGGGAGGGCCTGCCTGCATGATTCTTTTTTTCTTTTAATATTTATTTACGTGGCTGCACTGGGTCTCAGTGGCGGCACGTAGGATCTTTAGTTGCGGCACGCGGATCTAGTTCCCTGACCAGGGATCGAACCTGGGCCCCCTGCATTGGGAGCGTATTCTTATTTATTTATTTATTTATTTATTTATTTATTTATTTATTTATTTATGGCTGCGTTGGGTCTTTGTTGCTGCGCGTGGGCTCTCTAGTTGCGGTGAGCAGGGGCTACTCTTTGTTGCCGTGCACAGGCTTCTTATTGCGGTGGCTTCTCTTGTTGCGGAGCACGGGCTCTAGGTACACAGGCTTAGTTGCTCTGCGGTATGTGGGTTCTTCCCAGACCAGGGCTCAAACCCGTGTCCCCTGCATCGGCAGGCGGATTCTTAACCACTGCCCCACCCGGGAAGTCCCCGGGAGCATAGCGTCTTATCCACTGGACCACCAGGGAAGCCCCTGCTTGGCTAATTCTGAGTCTGGCTGTGAGCTTTTCCACAAGCCCAGCCCTGAGCCTCTGCTGCGGGGGCCTCCAGCTCGGGTACTGCTGGGGGCAGACAGCTGTCAGGTACCCTAAGGCTCACGGAGCACCGAGGGTGTGCTAGCCACGGCTCTGTACCATTTCTACACGGATTAACTCATTCGACCTATGGCAGTCCTCGCAGGAAGAGGTCATCCTTGTACCCAGTCCACAAAGGAGGAGACTGAGGCACCAATGTGCTTGTGGCCTGTCCAAGGTCACAGCCTGGAAGCCATACGGCTGAGATTTGAACCCCAAGCGCATGCTCCCACCCACTGCTCTCTCTTGCCCTGGAGCTGACTCATTTCGGGTTAGTGTCCCATAAAGGGGGGAGGCTGTGGCCAAGGGCAGGACAAGGGCAGCTGCCACTCTGTTCTTGTTGACCGTCTGGATTCCAAGAGAACCCAGAACACCAGAGTTTCACACAGCACCTCCTCCGTTCAGCGTTGGCAGCTAACTCAAATTTTCTTCTCACACTGCTGCCCGTGGTGTAGTTGCGGGAGTTGGTGAACTTTTCTTCCTTTTAACATTTTATTGACCTAGAACCTGAATTCAGAATAGGACACAGAGCCTAAGTACTGAACTTGAATTTTCAGAGTGAACAGTGCGTGATGAACTTAATGTCTGGCCCCGTTCATGCCCCGTCCTTCACGCTTTATCAGCTGTGCCCTTTATTCGTTAAAAATTGGAGGGTGCATGTCACCAGGTGATTGATTTTTCTCTCTTTTTTTAATTGGAGTATAGTTGCTTTACAATGTTGTGTTAGTTTCTGCGGTGCAGCAAAGTGAATCAGCTCTACGTATACATATATCCCCTCCTTTTTGGATTTCCTTCCCATTTAGGTCACCACAGAGCATTGAGTTCCCTGTGCTATACAGTAGGTTCTCATTAGTTATGTATTTTTTTTAACTTTTTTTTTTTTGGCTGCAACACGTGGCATGCGGGATCTTAGCTCCCCGACCAGGGATCAAACCCGGGCCCCCTGCAGTAGGAGCATGGAGTCTTAACCACTGGACCACCAGGGAAGTCTTAGTTATCTATTTTATACATAGTAGTGTCTATATGTCAGTCCCAATCTCCCAATTTATCCCACCTGCCCTGCCCCCTTGGTGTCCATACGTTTATTCTCTACATCTGTGTCTCTATTTCTCCTTTGCAAATAGGTTCATCTGTACTATTTTTCTAGATTCCACATACATGTGTTAATATACATGTGTCTTTGTCTCTCTGACTTACCTCACTCTGTATGACAGTCTCTAGGTCCATCCATCTTTTTTTTTTAAATTAATTTTTATTGGAGTCTAGTTGATTTACAATGTTGTGTTAGTTTCTGCTGTACAGCAAAGTGACTCAGTGATACATATACATATATCCCCTCTTTTTTCAGATTCTGTTCCCATATAGGTCATTACAGAGTACTGAGTAGAGTTCCCAGCGATTTTTTCTTTTTAAGTTACTATACACGCAGCTGTTCCCAGGAGCCACTGAGAGGTGGAAAGGACAGTTGATCTGAGGGTCATTGCTGTAGAGGGAGATATCT